TTCTCAATTTTTCGATAGTTTTAGGATTTTTCAATATTTTTATTCTTCAATTTTCCGATTCTTCAAATTTTCGACTTCTCGATTTTCCCATTTTTCATTTTTTTTACTTTCCGATTTTTAAATTTTTGACGTTTCTAACTTTTCGATTTCTCGACTTCTCGATTCTTCGATTTTTCAGCTTTTTTTCGATTTCTCGATTTTTCTTCGACTTCTCAATTTTTCGTTATTAATCAATTTTTTTATTTTCCTATTTTTAAAATTTAAAATTTTTCGATTTCTCGATTTTTCAGGTTTTTTTTTTGTTTAGATAATAATAACAATACATATACCTAATACAGATGTATTGACTAACAGAACAAAGGTTCCAAAAAAAACAAAGCTTAAAAAAAGATTTTGATTTTCGAGATTTTTAGAAAGAAAAAACAAATTTGAATAACAATTTTTCGATTTTTCGGATTTTCGATTTGTCCATTTTGAATTTTTCGATAAGTAAATTTTTTGGTATTTCAATTTAGGGATTTTCCACTTTGTGGATTGTTCAATTTTTAGAATTTTCGATTTCACGATTTTTTATTTTTCGATTTCTGAATTTTGCGATATTTCGATTTTACGATTATTAAATTTTTCAATTTGTAAATTTTTTGCTTAAGTAATCGATTGTTTGATTTCTCGATTTTTCAATTTTTTATATTTCAACTTTTCACTGTTTCAGTTTTGGGATTTTTCAATTTCTCAAGTTTTCGATGTTTTGGTTTTAGGATTTTTCAATATTTCAACTTTTCGATTTTTCTTTTTTTTTACACTCTTGATTTATCACAATTTTTATAGATTTTTCGATTTCTAGATTTTTCATTTGTTTGATGTTTCAATTTCTCGATCTTTCTTTTTTCGACTTTAGATTTTTCAGTTTTCCAATTTTGGGATTTTTAAAATTTTTGATTTTTCGAGATTTTCAGAAATAAAAATAAAATTTGAATAAAAACTTCTCGATTTTTCGATTTTCAATTTTTTGATTATTCAATTTTTAGATATTTCAGTTTGGGAATTTTTCAATTTGTCGATTCTTCAATTCCTCGATTTGTTTATTTTTCGATTATTACATTTTTCAATTTTTCTGGTTTTTGATTTTTCGATTTTTCAAGTTTCCGATTTCTCGATTTTTTCAATTTTTCGATTGCTCAATCTACCGATGTTTCAGTTTTGGGATTTTTCAAGTTTTCGATTCTTCAATTTTTCTTCGCCTTCTCAATTTTTCGATATGCAAGTTTTGGGATTTTTTGATATATATTTCGATTCAATTTTTCCATTTTTTACTTTTTGAATTTTTTAATATACATATATTCAGATATTCAATTTTTTAATTTTTCTATTTTTGAAATTTAAAACGTTCAGGTTTCTCGATTTTTCAGTTTTTTTTTGTTTAGATAATAATAACAATAATAAGAATATACCTAATATAGATCTATAACTAACAGAACAAAGATTCCAAAAAAGACAAAGGTTATACAAAAAAAAAGATAAAGATTTCTCGGTTTTCCAATTTTCCGATTTTAAAATTTTTGATTTTCTAGACTTTTAGAAAAAAAAAAGAAAATTGAATAACAATTTTTCGGATTTCCAATTTCTCGATTTCTCAATTTTACGATTTTGAAATTTTTCCATTTTCAATTTTTGGCATTTCTGAAATTTTGATTGTTCAATTTCTCAATTTTTTTATTAAGTAATCGATTGTTTAATTTCTCGACTTCGATTTCTCGTTTGTTCAATTTTTTTATTTCTCAAGTTTTCGCTGTTTCAGTTTTGGGATTTTTCAATTTCTCAAGTTTTCGATGTTTTAGTTTTAGGATTTCTCAATATTTCAATTTTTCGACTTTTGGTTTTTCTTGATTTTTTTAAATTTTTCTATTTTTAAAATTTTCAATTTATAAAATATAAGATTTTTCGATTTGTAGATTTATCATTTTTTTGATATATCAATTTCTCGATCTTCCATTTTTCGACTTCTCGGTTTTAGATTTTGCAGTTTTCTAATTTTGGTATTTTTAGAATTTTTGATTTTTCGAGATTTTTGAAAATAAAAATCAAATTTGAATAAAAACTTCTCAATTATTAGGCCTTTCGATTACTCGATCTTCACTTTTTCGATTATTCAATTTTTAGAGATTTCAGTTTGGGGATTTTTCAATTTGTCGGTTCTTCAATTTCTCGATTTCTCAGTTTTACGATTTTTCATTTTTTCGATTATTACATTTTTCAATTCTACAATTTTTGGCCTTTCTCAATTTTTGATTTTTCAATTTCTCGATTAATCGATTTTTTGATTTTTCGACTTTCCGATTTCTCGATTTTTAAATGTCTCCATTTTTCTATTATTCAATTTTTCGATATTTCAGTTTTGACATTTTTCAATTCCTCAAATTTTCGATTTTTCAATTTTGGGATTTTTAAATATGTATTTTAATTTGACGATTTATCGATGTTTTGGTTCTTTACTTGTATATATAGTGATATGCCAAAATTTTTCGACTTTTTCAATTTTATATTTTTCAATTTTTAATTTTTTGATTTTTCGATTTCATTTTTTGGTTTTTAAATATTTAGATTTTTCAGTTTTTCCAATTTCTCGATTTCCTAATTTTTCGTCATTTCAGTTTTGGAATTTTTCAATTTCTCGATTGTTCAATTTCTTTCAATTATAAAAAAAAATCCTTTTTCTTCACTGGTCAAGTGCTGCTGACACTGAAGAAATAAAATACATAAAACCTCGGAAAAACTGACACGCTGTTAAAAGTAGGTAAAACAAAAGGACCGCTAGTCGATTTCTTCGTTCACTCTAGAACATCCATATTAACATTCTTACTTTAATTGGCATTAAGTAGGTTTCAATTACTTCCGGCAACGGAGGACAACATATTCAAATTCATATCTTCAATTGTCGTTCTGGAAGAAAATCGTGTAACATCAATGAAAATTCTAGTAAGCATTCTTTCGGCAATACATTTTTGTGGAATATTATTCACCGTCGAACATTCCTTTTTTAATCATTTCATAATAAGTGCAGCTGGATCCAATAGATTACATTTTTTCGTGAACATAAACGAGTTTATTGATATTTCGATATGTATATTACTTCTACGAATCCTGTATTATTCATAGTGGATGATTCATCCTGATTAAGTAATATTATCTGGTCTTCTATAATAAAAAGCGCTTTCAATTAATTTCGACAGCTTTATTTTCTGTCGCTGGTTGAAATGTAAATGACACAAAATAGAAAGTATTTTCGATAGAAACTTAACTTGAACAAACAAAAAATATTCAAATCATATGAATAAGGAAAACGTCTACTTTGAATTGGAACAGGTTGATTTTCCCCTCTTAAAATGCAAACAGTTTTCCCTTCTTTTCGATAATCTCGTGGAATTTTAAAACACCACGTCTTCGGAGCAAGCTTTCAAAAAATATTTTTGATGATATGGGTGTTTTTTATCTATATTTTATATATCATCCACATGTTTGTTTCGAGCTCGAACTTCTATCAAAATTTGGCCTATTTTATTGGAGATTAATAAACATTTTTTTATTTCCAAATTCCAAAAGCTACACAAAGATCTGACACTCGATATAATTTTCATAATATCACTTTTAAATTGCTTGTAATCTAAAATACTCTAAAATGTTTCGTTTTACTTCTTTCCAATATTTTTGGGATCCCTAAATTTTTTGAATGGAAGCTTTTAAATTTTAAAATCGTAAACTAGAACATTCTGTACAACCCTTCGGTTTAAGAAACATCAAAAATCAAAACTGTTCCGTATTTTCCATTTTTTGCCAAAATCGTCACTTTATTTTTCAACACAAATTGAGAAGAACTCAACATTTTTTTTTTTTTTTTCAAAAAAAAAACAATATTCGTTGACTCAATAATCACCCGAACCTCCTCTGTCCAAAATAATAATAAACTAAACAATACCCGACAAAAAATAATGCAGTCACGCTAGTTAACCTTGCGGTTATCACCAGTGAACAATTTAATTCATTCATTAGAATATAATCTCTCGAACGAAAAAGTAAAGTTTAGTGGCTTAGAATTTTCGGTTTGATGACCACCTTAAACGCGTTTAAAATACACAAAGGTACATCGACATATTTAAATTTTAGCGCCATTATATCCATTTCGAGAGACGAATGCAAACCAGTTTCGCCTTAAAAGTAAGAGCAGTAAACGCTTATTTAGTTCCAGATTTAGTGACTCGTAATTAAACCAAAAAAAAAAGATCAACCGGCTCAATAAACACAGATCCGGCTCAAAGGACTATTTATTGGTATAGCTCTCCGGCTTTTGATGAGTTTCTGCTGTCCTTACCGAATTAACCTCTGGCACACATCATCCAAACATCGTAAATTCGCCAAACAATACCGCAAAAAATAAAAAAAAGTAAAATACGGCGACTAGGTCATTAACTTTAGCCTGTCAGAGATCAACAAACTCTCGCTTGTTTAGGTATGCAGCAGAACCTCGCAACAAACAACATTCGCACAAGTACAAGATGATCCCATAAAAAATCCACATAGAAAAGGAGTAAGATCAGAGTGGCCAAGACGAGGTCAGAGTGTCGTTTGTTTGTGAGGTCAAGTAGCCGTGGAATAATGCAACGCTTGCTGCGATTCCGGTTTGCACATAAATAAAATGTTACGTACAGAATTCCGAAAAGACCGAATTCCGCACAATTTTAGAAAGCTGGCCGCGATCCAAATTCCATGCAACGCGAAAAATCAAAAAACAGGCGGAATGCCTGATGCAGTCGCGACTCCGCCGAAACGGGGGGCCGCTATTGGTTATTAATTATTAAAAAACAAATCTAGCGGCCGCTGCACCAATCCCGGTCGTCGCTGACATCTCGGCCGACTCGATCCAAAATCAAATTGGACTCACCCTCTGACAACGGGTTTTTTGAGACAAACGACGACCGCGGGGGCGGCGGGAGGGCGACACTTACCTTAAATTAAACAAAAATACGTTCCTTCGCTCGAATTTTGGCACGGCACTGGTTTTTACGGAAAACGACAACAACCCAACGCACTCACTCTACGACTAAAAACCAGAAATTTGATACTGAAATAAGCTATTTATAAAAAGGGCGCATGCGCGCTGGGGAAGCACTTTTTCAAAAATTTCGACGTTCTCACGGGGGAATTTTGGGCGAACTGGACGCGGCGGCCACTTTTCCACTGACTTTCGCGGAAAAATTTGATGGGGGTAGTCGGAAAAACGAAATTCGTGACAAAATGAGAATTTTTTTTGACAGTTGTGAGGATGACGTTCGCATGCGCAGAAGCGGGTAAAGTCACGGCCGGAATCTTTTCGCGTCACGTTTTTTCGCGAAAGATGAATTGGATAAACAATGATGAAAGCAAAACAAACACAGCGGAGGACGAAAAATCGAAACCCGTACAATGGAAAATTTAAGACGGGAGGATTACGGAGGTGGGAAGTGGGGCGGTGGCCGTAACCGTAGCCACAACATGTCAAATTCTAGTAATAACAATGGCAGATAAGTTACTAAAAAAACCCTCAAAAGGGATATTGAAAAATTCGAGCAGCTTCGACAAACAGGATACACAAAGGTAAGAGCTCAGTTGCCGCCGAACTCCGCTTGAAAAAAGCAAAATCACGCCACCTTTTTGGTTAGGATTCTTATGTAGTGAGTAATGTTTTCTAGAAAATCCTTAAAGGGCACGACGTGGGACGAGATGAACATCCTGGCGACGTTACATCCCGCGGACAAGGACTACGGCCATATGAAGATCGACGAGCCGAAGACTCCGTACAACTTCATGGACGCAGACCACGTCGATGGGCTCAATCTGGCAGCTCTCGAGGAGAAGATGAGGGCCAGCGGGAATGAACCCCCGAAGGCGCTTCTGGGGCAAGACGACTCGGACGAAGACGACGACTTAACCCCGGACGAGAAGGCCAGGAAGCGGGAGTTCCAGAATAGGCGCAAGAAGCACTACAATGAGTTTTATGCGGTGAAGCTAGCTCGGAAGCTGCTGGAGGAGGAAGACGATTCGGACACTTCGCCGAAAGGGTCGCCTTCCCCCAAACAGAGTCCAAAACATAAGGCACAGAATCAAAGCACTTCGAAACATTAATTGCCAAATTCGATTTGTTTAATAGTATCATTTCCCATGTCTTGTAGAAGCGGAATCGACGATTATGCCATAAGAAAGTGATAAATTTTTGAGATTTCGCTGTTTTTTTAAGCGCTGATTTAAGCTCCATTGGCTGTGGTGATAGTTTGCTAATGTTTTAATACTGTTACCGAATCGGTATCATTTGCTTTTTTTTCTGGGTTGTATTACAGGCCACGACCAAAATTTTTATGTTACGGTTTATTTACAGACGAGCAACTGACGCTGGCGGGAGTCATATTTTTTATAAATACATATATTTAGATATCAGATCTTTTCAGGTTATTATTTAATTAATATTTATTTGTTTAGTTTAAATAAATGTGAAAAGTTGTATATTCTAGTTATTTCTATAAAGCAAAGTCGAGTTATTGTGTATAGAGATAATATAAAATTCAAGACCTAATAATTATTATTAAGTGTTTCAATTGAAAATAAATAAAAATCGGATTCTAACATGTAAAGTCTCAATAAAGACATATTGAAATAGTTGCTATGAGTTATTTTATCTTGTCTCCTATTCTTCCACTCATGCTTGATATTTTTAAATAATTGTCTAAAGCTTAGGGATTAAGATTCGTCTAGAACATTTTAAAATTTATTTTCAAACAAAATTCTTGGCAGCATATTATTTTGGTTAACGTTCTACCAATGCTTTTCTTAGTACCGTGTAAACATACATATTTGTTTTAAAATCGTTACCCAACCTTTGACGACAATTAGTCGTCAGTATTTCTACTTTTAATTTTACTGTCTGAAATTGTTTTTAATTATTTTACGATTTTTTTTATGTTTAAACTCCTTCGGTTTCTAATAAGTATTTTTTGTTTTTTTTATTAGTTTTAACTTTGGCGCGGTTTCGAAATTTCCTCCTTCGAATCCGCCTAATATTTTTTAATTTTTCCTATTTTTTCTAAACTTTTTTTCACGGCATAGGTACTTTATTTTCATTAATTTTAATGTTATTTTTGTCTTCATAATTACCTACAGTTTTTCTCTTCATCTTTACTCCCTTTTCTTAATTATATCCTTTATCTGTGTTCTAGTCTTTTCGCATTTTAAATGTCATATAAGCCTTAAGAGCCTTAGAACTAGAGTTAAACCCATGAGTTTTCACTTCATTTTTTCCCCAACTTTTTGGTCGCACTTTTTTTTAATTTCTCCATTTTGTTGTATTTAATTTTGTTCTTTATTGTGGCAATGTGATTATTTTCCGACAAAATTATAGAAAATATGGAAAATTTATTGATGATCTTAAGTCTTATTTTATCTCTTTCTACATGATTCACAAATTGTTTTGTAAAATGCAAATAATATTTATTAGTTTTACCATCTACAGGATATTCTTAACACACATATAAAATTTGACAAAAATCGTTCCAGTAGTTTCGAATAAAAGTCCGGACAGACGGCAGACAGACAGATAGTCAGATGGAAAAGGTATCGTACTCTGGTGGTCATAAAACGTCGAAAAAATTTAAAAGTAGCCAGTCTCCCGATGGGCTCGATTACAATAGCTTACGCTCGCGAAGTAAAAAGAACTACAAGGAAGAGGAAACAAAAAAGGCTACAAGAAAAACGACAAACAAAAAGAGTACAAAAAGCAAGAAAAAAAACGCAAAAAATGCAAAACAAATATGGCCATAGACTTTAAACTTGTATAATTGGTTGCATATACTTACATATTGATTATTATTGAATACGCTAAATTATATTTCAATATCTACTTTATTTTTTTTTTTTTTAAGTAATAAAATAACACCAACAATAATAATACTTTTTATAATTAACTTTGTTAACAAGAGCTTTTAAGCTCATTTTCCAAAAATTGAAGAAGGACTCTCTTCACTTGAAAAATAGCGTCAAGCTGAGAATTTCAAAAAGAAAGTAAAAGTATCTTCAAGTCAACAGTAATTTAAAAAATTGGTCTAAAGAGTTTAGACAGTACTTCCCTCGCTGTCGGAAACTTGACGACTGCATGCCTATTGTGTTTTTTTTCTCATTACATTTTTGTAGTGGGAATTTAAAAAAAATTGTGATGACGTCATCAACATTTTTGCAAGGACACGTATATCAGTTGGGATAGATGTAGTGTAATACTAAGAATAAAATTATTGTGTTCCCAAATTTTCGGGAAAATGAATTGGGTCGTTTTGAATATTGATTTCTTATAATCAATAAAATAACGAAACAATTTACTCACGTATACGGCGCCGGTGTGTAATATCTAGAGAGCGGATTTCTGTCGGGCTAGGCAAGGCCAAACTCAGTACGGCTAGTACGGGATGCGAATTCATTGCGGTTGCGGACTGCACTTCGTTTATTTGAGATTAGAATAACGCTGTTTAGTTGCACTCTGCTGTTAATTCCCGTTCTCATTTACTTAGCCGTTTGATTAATAAATCGTTAATTATATTTATGGAATTAGTCCCGATTAAATTCAGTGATTATCTATCACCCGGCGATCCAGCACCTATAATCGTGACGTAGCCCTACAGAAATCCGCTGTCTAGTAATATGAGGGGCAACTGAAAATCGTTTATGTATAAACATTCTTAATTTAAGATGACAAGCGTAACAGCATACGTGAGAGTCAAACAGAGAAACTGTAAACAAAACGACCATCGGTTTTATTGCTTCGACTTCCGCTTATTATATAAAACATTGGGTTTTATTTTAATTCTTGACGGTGAAATTCACAATTGGTTGATTATAAACATGTCTATTTCACATTCGCGGAACCAAGTGAGCGCATAAAACAAATGCAGGTCTGTAATGTTAAAGTCATGTAAATAAGCGTACTACCCTTATGTTTCAACCGAGTTTTTCCTTTAACAAATTTTGTGTCTACCAAATTGGGTTGGTTGGGGTGTAATACTAATAATAAGTGTTGCCTTTAATTTAATCAATAAAATAAATTGACTTCATTAATTTTTTTGAACCACCTCTTAAGAAAATCTAAAAAATATGAATGGAATGATAAATCACAAGTACAAACTCATCATATTTTTTGCATTTTAGATAGGATTTATTCAGCAAAATTTAAGGGTGACGTCATCAATTTTTTTAGGAGGGATGAACAAATACATTTTGAACAAAAGTTTACCATGCTTATAATAACTTTAAAATATTCCCAAGATTTCAAAGCATTCGGTTTTGTAATTCCTGATTAAATCGATAAAATAAATTCACGCCTTCATTATTTTTTTTTGAGTCACCCTGCATATGCAAATCCAAAAATATGAATGGAATGATAAATCACAAGTACAGACTCATCATATTTTGTACATTTTAGATGCGATTTATTCGGAAAACTTTTGAGCTGACGTCATCAGTTTTTTGTAGAAGATAACCAAATATATTTTGACTAAAAATTTATTATGCTCTTTATAACCTTAAAACATCTGCAAGATTTCAAAGCATTCGGTTTTGTAGTTCCTGATTAAATCAATAAAATAAATTTACGCATTCATTAATTTTTTTGAGTCACTCTGTATATGCAAATCCAAAAAATATGAATGGAGTGATAAATGACAAGTACAGGCTCATCATATTTTGTACATTTTAGATATGATTTATTCGGCAAACTTTCGAGCTGACGTCATCAAGTTTTTGGAGGGGATAAGCAAATATATTTTGACTAAACATTTATTATGCTCTTTATGACCTTAAAACATCTGCAAGATTTCAGAGCATTCGGTTTTGTAGTTCCTGATTAAATCAATAAAATATATTTACGCATTCATTAATTTTTTTGAGTCACCCTGTATATGCAAATCCAAAAAATATTAATGGAGTGATAGTTCACAAGTACAGACTCATCATATTTTGTACATTTTAGATATGATTTATTCCACAAACTTTTGAGCTGACGTCATCAAGTTTTTGGAGGGGATAAGCAAATATTTTTTGACTAAAGATTTATGATGCTCTTTATAGCCTTAAAACATCTGCAACATTTCAAAGCATTCTGGTTAGCAGATTAAAAATTAAATTTCAAAATGTTGTTTTATAATTTTGATTTTTTTTCCAAAAATCTGGACGTTTCGGGTGAAAAGTCGATTCAGAGTTGTAAACTACATGTGTAGGACTATGTTATTTTATACAATTGAAAACCCATTTACTATGTACAATTTTGAAGTGACGTCATCGCTTTAGTGGTGGGGATGATTCGACAAATTTTGGTTAGCGTTTTACCATCTACATGATATTCTTAATATAAGTACAAAATTTCACAACAATCGGTCGAGTACTCTCGGAGATTATCTGTCTAATAAAAATCCGTGACAACAGACGGACAGACGGACAGACGGACAGACGGACAGACGGACAGACGGACAGACGGACGGACGGACAGACGGACAGACGGACAGACAGACGGAAATGGGAGACCTATTTCTTCGTCTTCTAGGGGTCATGAAAGATCGAGAAAACGTAAAAGTAGAGAGTCGGCCGACGGACTCGATTACAATACTTCCTTTGCTTACGCTCGGGAAGTAAAATGAATAAAAAGTTCGAATTACAAAAAATGATGATAAACGGCACCTGTCATTTTTCCGCCACTTTTTATATAATGTCATTTTCGACAAAAAGACGTAGCTATTTAATTATTTTCAGAACCGAATTCCTAGTTAAAATAAAGCAAAACCTCAACTAAAATGGCGGAGCCCGATCTAAACGTCGACAATCTGATACAAAGATTGTTAGAAGTGCGAGGATCCCGCCCCGGAAAATCCGTCCAAATGTCAGAAGCAGAAGTTCGGGGCTTGTGCCTCAAATCCCGAGAAATCTTCCTGCAGCAGCCCATCCTCCTCGAACTCGAGGCTCCTTTGAAGATATGCGGAGACATCCACGGCCAGTACACAGATCTGCTCCGCCTCTTCGAAATCGGGGGCTTTCCTCCAGAAGCCAACTACCTCTTCCTCGGCGACTACGTGGACCGCGGAAAACAGTCTCTGGAGACCATCTGCCTGCTCTTAGCCTACAAGATCAAGTACCCAGAAAACTTCTTCCTGCTCAGAGGCAACCACGAGTGCGCTTCGATCAACCGAATCTACGGCTTCTACGACGAGTGCAAGCGGCGCTACAACATCAAGCTGTGGAAGACCTTCACCGACTGCTTCAACTGCTTGCCCATAGCTGCCATCATCGACGAAAAAATTTTCTGCTGCCATGGGGGCCTAAGTCCCGACCTGCAGGGCATGGAGCAGATAAGGCGCATCATGCGGCCGACGGACGTCCCCGACACGGGGCTGCTGTGCGACCTGCTGTGGTCCGACCCCGACAAGGACGTGCAGGGCTGGGGCGAGAACGACCGCGGGGTGTCGTTTACTTTCGGCGCGGACGTGGTGAGCAAGTTCTTGAACAAACACGACCTGGATTTGATCTGTCGAGCGCACCAGGTGGTGGAAGATGGGTACGAGTTCTTCGCCAAAAGGCAGCTGGTGACGCTTTTTTCCGCCCCGAATTACTGCGGGGAGTTCGACAATGCGGGAGGAATGATGACGGTGGATGAGACTTTAATGTGTTCTTTCCATATATTGAAACCGGCTGACAAGAAAGCCAAGTACCAGTACCAAGGAGTCAATACGGCACGGCCGTCGACTCCTCAGAGGAACCCTGCAGCTAAAAAGAAATAAAAGACGTGAAAGTATACAACTATATTGTTGACGTTGTTTTCTTATTGTCAACCGATGCATTTGTAACACTATATTCTCTTTTCCTGCTAGATGGGACTGGATTTTTTATCTTGAAGTATTTTTTATTTTATATTTATGTAGTTTTGGTTTCTTCATTTGATTAAATTGTGATTGTATTAACTGATTATAAATTTACTTAGTTTGGTTGAAGGTTAAAATATTGTACTTGAATGTAAAACTAATTCCTAGAAACCTTTTTTTAATTTTTGACATAAATGTAATACAGTATAACTATAACATCTATAATCCGAACGCACGATTATCCGAACAGAGGCTAGTGGAAGTCGATGTCTCTTTAATCCGAACAAAAACTCTACAATCCGTACCGAGCTCTAAACTGAGTAAAATGTCGATGCATAAATATACACCACATAATCCATCCAACAGAAGTGTATAACCAAAATTAATCTTGATGGAAGAACTGTGACAGATTTAGACAAGTAGTATAATGTTGGATAATCGACCATCTGTGGTATGAAAAAGAAGAAAACTGCTATAACTTCCTACGTTTCATTTTAAATATATTTTTTTTAATTCTTTAAAATATTTTTCTACTTTTCTCGGGGTTATCTGACGAGCTATCGAAAAAAAGAACTTCAGATTCGTAATCTATAAAAAAATCCTTTAGAAGAACGTTGTTTTTTTCGTTTGAATTAAATCTTCCTATGAATTTTTTTTTGAAAATTTTTAAAATGAGTTTTCCCATTTTCTGCATTGTAATATATGTATTACAATTATTATTAATTATATTATTTGCCAAAATCAGGCGTATCTTAGGAAATATTAGCCCCGCCCACCCGCCCACTATTTTCTTAGAGAGTATATCATTTGCCAAAATCAGTCTTGTCGTAGCAAATCCTAAGCCCGCCCACCCGCCCTCTATTTTCTTAGAGGGTATGTCATTTTCCAAATCAGTCATATCTGTCACGGAACAATATTTTCGAAATATTCGGTGAAAAATTCGATTTTTTTTTAATTTCCAAAGATTGCGATATTTCAGCGGGCGATTCTGGAAAAACGGTTGAAGTTATCGAAGAAACGAGGCTGGAAGTGACTTCCGCTGCCCGAAATCTATAAGAAAATGCATTTAGCTCAATTTCGAAAATGGTCGAAAATGGGTCGAAATTTGCATAATACATAGCTGAAACAATTGCCTAAAATTCTCAAAAAATTCAGGGCTGTGGATCTCGACGTGCTGATTCCAAAAATATAGCGTGTTTGTGGTCATAGAACAATATTTTCGAAATGTTCCCTGAAAAATACGAATTTTTTGAAATTTCCCAAATTTGCGATATTTCACCGGGCGATTCTGGAAAAAACGGTTGGAATTATCAAAGGAATGAGGCCGAAAGTGACTTCTGCGGGCCAAAATCTACAAGAAAATGTATGTAGCTGAACTTTCAATTTTTCGTTTTTCGGATTTTCAGTTTCTAATATTTAATTTTTCGTTTCCTCAATTTTTCAGGTTCTTGATTTTTATTTTTCATTTTCCCGATTTTTTTATTTTCATTTTCTTGGTTTTATGTCACGATTTTTCGTTTTTTCATTTCCTTTATTTTTTCAATGCTTCTTTCAAGTTTATAATTTTTCGTTTATTCAATTCTTCAAATTTTCCATCTTTGATTATTCAATTCCTCGATTTTCCAATTTCTAAATTTTTCAACTTTGCAACTTTTCGCACCTAAAAAAAAATCACTCTACTGTTTGGTTTAAAACATTATCTCAAAAAGTTCTCGTTTCGAATTCAAAGTTGTCTGTAATCAAACCAGGAAATTTTGACCCTCGTCCACTTTATTCTATTCAAGTGTTTAGGGATTATGGAAACCCGCAGTGAGGAAGCGGACCAGTCTAATACCTCTCGCTGCGGGTACCAACAATACTTTTTTACATGTAAACTTAAAGAAAAAAGCACAGGTTTCAATCCCGTAATTCTATATTTACAAAATTTGAATTAAAAGTAACCTATATACATTTTACACAGGTGAAAATGGATAGATTGTACAAAATATGAATCCTTGAAATATCTAGTCATTCCTCTGCAGATTTTTAGATTTAGAACCTACAAATTAATAACACTTATGTGTCACGGGTGACATATCTTGGAAACTACTTTAGAAAAAATTCAACACTTCAGCAATTTAAAAAGACATATTTTATAAATTCGAGATGTATTGTTTCATGGTTCCATCAATATTTTCACTTCGAAATATTTATTTTTGCAATACTTTTACTATTTTTAACCATTTATATTCACAAGCGCATTATATCGGTAGCCTGCCATCCATCTGGAAGGTCCACTTTTGCACCTTTCTGTAGCAAAAATAGTATTACGTAATATTTGTTGTGAACGTTTTTGCAAGCGTAATGTATCGGCAGTTGTCCATCTCCATCTGGAACGTCCACTTTTACACCACTCTCTACCAGCAGTTCTACTACGTCTTCATCTCCGTGTTCGCAAGCGTAATGTATTGGTTGTCGGCCATCTACATCTGGAGCATCTACTTTGGCATCTTTTATTCGCAAAAATTGCACAATAACATATGCGTGGTTGTAATTTTTGCAAGCGTAATGCATCGGTAGCCGGCCATCTCCATCTGGAACGTCCACTTGAGCACCATTCATCACCAAGAATTCCACTACTTCTAATTCTCCATGTTCACAGGCGTAATGAATCGGCAGCCTGCCATTTTTATCCGGAACGTCTACTTTGGCACCATCCGATACCAATAATTCGACCATACTTAGAAGTCCATATTCACAAGCATCATGTATCGGTAGCCGACCTTTTCCATCTGGAACATCCAATCTCGCACCATTTCTTCGCAAAAACGGTATTATATTAAGTCCATAATCACAATTCTTGGTCACGTAGTGAATGGGCAGCCGACCATTTTCATCCGGAAGATTCAATTCCGCACCATTCGCTACCAATATTTCTACCAACATTAGATCTCCATCTTCACAAACAGAGTGCATCACAAGGCAACCGTTTTCATCCAAAATATTGATTTTCGCTATTAGTTTTAACACGTCTAGATTTCCGTTTTCATATGCAATGTCTACCGGACGTCTTCCACTTCTATCCCGTACATTCAAGTTCGTTTCTTTGATAATAATTAGCGAACGTAAAGTCTTGATTAGATTTTTTTCGCATGCGAAATGCCCCAGTGACTGACCTCTAAAATTTCGCACATCGACTCTAAATTCCGGTAAATGTAACGCAAAAGTGAATATTTCGTCAATTTCCGAGTTCAAAATTAAAAGTTCTTCTACACAGTCCCATTCAGAACTGAATCGTTCTTCGGAAAGCAGTTTTTTTAATATTCGCGCTGATCTATTGAAAAAAGCTAGAGCTAAAATACTTCTTGGGCTAATAGTATCGTATGCCTGTCTTAAAGGAAGAGAATTTTCGATACATTCAAAAATGATTGGGACGTCAAACCTAATTGCGTAATATAAAATTGCCGCCGAGTATTCCGCACCAAACTGATTCCCGTCGTACAATGGGACTAAAAATGGTAAGAAAATCATCAATTTTCTGTAACAGATATTGCCTGAAGTGCGGAATTTGTAAAATTTTTGAACTACATTACGATAATTTAAATCTCGGATAGCTTGTTTGTTATTATTGATTATCCATTCTCTATCGAAATTCTTGTAATCCACAAGAACAGTGTTTTCAACAATTGGGTACTTTTTACTCCACGCACACGCCACTTCCCAAATGTCACGACCAATCATATCTCTTTCAAGTAAATCTGCATCGGTAAATGCTTCTACAATTGTAATGTTCTTATATATAACACCTACTAAACATTTAGAATTTCGAGATAACATTAAATCTAAAAAAAATCGAATGTTGTTAAATCGACTGTCAGAAATAAATTTTTGATCACGTGCTTTAGAAGTTTCGTGTTCAAATAGATACAAGGCTGCAAAATATTCGCCGTACGAATTGTGAACGAATTCTACATCATATTTAGATATAACGCGGCATATAAGTCCTACATCATCTCCTTCGTTTTTTATTTTTTCTAGAAAACTGTCATTCGTTTTGCCGTAACCGAATAATTTGTTTATAATTTTGTCAATTAAAGAGTTATAAATGTAATAACTTGCAGCTAAACTTTTATAATGGTTCATTCTTGTGTTCTTTTCGTTTTCAAAATGCTGGTTATTTTGTTCGTTCCTTAATGTAATTTCTTTTTTGTCGTTGTATAGAACATGAAATTTTTCTTGAACGAAGTGTTCATAGAGATCTAGAACAGTGAATATACCGTCTAACAAAGGTAGATATTTGTCTCTGTCATTTAAAAATAATTCTGTAAGCATATAAATTTGTAGAGGAATGCCCAAAATTTCGTAATTTGGAAAAGACATTATATTTTTTCTTATTTTGTTAAAAGTTTCACTTAACTCATCTTCAGTCATCCGTAAACGGTTTTTAATGTATTCTTGTTGTTCGTCCTCACTAAACTGTTTTATATTTCGCGCAAACATACCTAACTTATTTTCTAACATTTCTTTTAAATTGTTTCGAGAAGTCAACCATTGCTTCACTCCTTTTTCCGAAAACGTAGTCACTAAGGTTAAAATGGAAATTTGAGTGGTGTCAGATGCTTCATCCAGTCCATCCCATACTAGTTGTATTTGATTTTGTTCCAGCATGGTTTTGAACACTTTCTGGTGGAACGGGTTAGTGCATTCCTTAACAGTTTCTTCTAGAATGTATTTTAAAAAATTCTCCACGTTTGATCCATGTTTCCTGAAATGTAAAGCGTGATTTCTGGCGTATATCAAAATGATCCATTTTGACGAAGAACTTCTACTTTTTAAGCTCTTCATTAATGTACTTTTTCCCATTCCAGGATCAGCACAAATAATGTTGATATTTTGTCGAGAATGTCTGAAGAATTGGTGCTCGCGTATAGTATATTCCATAAATTCGCTTTGCAGACGAAATTTCTCTAGTTCGACGATATATCCTCTTTCCGGGCCACAATTCCCACTTTCTATCCACTCCAAACGATGATTGTCCAAATACCGGAAGTGATGAAACCGATTTTCTGAATTTTCATTACACAGTGCAGAAAACTTCTCTTGCAAAACATCATTTCCACAAATATAAATCTTCTGTTCGTGAATTGTGTTCCGAATGAGACTAATATCGTTGACTTCGCTGATTACTAAATTTGGCAAAAATCGCTTGAAAGATTGGAGATCTGTTACGCAATCGACTAAAACAACAGTGTCGTCAGCAATATTTTTCAAAAATTTAACATCTATTAAAATTTTGGTCAACTTTCTTTCGATATGACTGGGTGGCAAAGCATCTTTGTGCTTTCCAATTGCTAGTGGAGCTTCCAACATTTCGACCAAATCATCTGTAGTAATGAAGTTGTCGCTGTCTTCGCAAACTTCTAGCAAATTTTTCAAACTAACATCTTTTTGACCTTCCAACGAATATGTAAAATTCGTCAAAATTTTTGTATACAAGTCGGAATGCTTTTTTAAGTCTGACAACTTTTGAAATAGTTGAATGTTTGTATCATCATGATATGATTTCTTTCTAACAATGTGACTATACGTTTCTCGATTATCTAGCACAATTAGATTTTGAACTTGGCATATTTTTATTGTTTCATAAACTTGTGGACATCCTTCAACGACTAACGGACTTTTTCCTAGTAACCACAGGAGCTTCGATACTTTCGTTTCATCCTTATTGTAGAGACTTTCCTTTTTTTCTATTCCGCCTTCTACAAGTTGGTACATGTTATTGACTTTGATCATTTCTTCCCCATCATCTATATCATCAACAGCATTTGACCAAAGACAGTCGATTTTTTCGAAATTATTTTTGTCTATAACTGTGAAGTTACATTTCGAAATAGCTTCTCTGAAAGTGTTTCTTTTGACGTCAAGTGATCCACCGGGAACAAAGTGTAATGGTCTGATAAAAGGCGAGAATGCACAAAGGGCTATCACGCACTTCATACTTGATTTATTTAAAGCGAATTTTTTTCCTTCCTTAGTACTCCATTGATTTATAAAATATACATACTCACGAAAAGTGGTTTCGTTACCACTGAATTTTTTTTTAAATGTCTCGAGTGTACACGTTTCAAGTTCTTTCACATCTGGTTGGTCACTGTAGAGATACAAATTTTCAAAAAAATGCCCATATTTCTCTAAACTATTTTCATTTGGTTCCAATTTACAGCACTGCCCTCTCGACTTTAAAACACTTAGCAAGCTTTCTTGTTCACATTGCACCAATTTTCCAAATTTTAGTCGATCTACGTGCTCATCGTTTAGCTTCGAATTTGTAAACAAAACCATCTTCGTACGTCGTTCAGATAACTTCGGCTCATTCTTGAATTTTTCGTAATATTTCTCGATGCTGAAGTTTCCACTTGGTGCGTTTAACTGCTCAATTTTTATTCTTGGTGCTTTGCTAATGTGTTTCAACTGCAGAGCGACCGTTTCTCTCCGGTCTTCAAATTTAATGTCAACTACGACGTCATCGAAAGAGCCATATTCACTATCGTTCGATGACAAATTAAAGTCTGCCACGTCATCGTCAGTTACTAATTTTAAAACTAAGTTGGCTATGTACAGATGTTCGTAGTCTTTGCCGACGTCAGTGGTACCAGCTCTCTTCTTAAACGTCTGAAACTAATGCAGAATTGATTTATAAATTCATCTTTTTATTAAAAGGGGTGTGGCATGAATTGGCAGCTTCAATATCGAAATTATTTGGGTTATATAATTGGTTGTCAGAAACACGTACAGTCAATTCAAAACTAAAAACGACAATGTCAAGGGACTCTAGTCAAGAGTAGAGCGGCAGTTTTACCATAATTTATGAATGGATGGTTGCCTATATTTTCGGAACGAAATTTTTAGATAGTTGTAAATTCAGTCACACTTGAAAATTACAAAATTGAATTTGTTGTATTATCAGCTTATCAATGATAAACGTATTGTGCTGTGCACTAACTGATCGTTTTTTAAATACTAAACAAATATTTATGTTTAACTCACCGTGGACGAATTTTTAAGTACTGAGTCCCGTTCGTCGATATTTGTTCCTATTGAAGTCTGTAAATACACAATATATTATAAAATGTATATTATAGTCTCCAGAACTTACCGTTGCCATATTTAATTAAACGCAAAAAAATCGCTTTGTGATTAATTGAAACTTAGAATGAAAATGATGCAACTTCTGTTGTTGTTATGATTAAGTTTTGATTACTATTCATAAGCATTTCGATAAACACCAGTAGGCTTTAGACTTTTTTGGAGGCACACCCCTTCAATGGTACAAATGTGTGAATTACTGCAAAATTACTGTGAGTGGACTTCCGATCATTTGCGACACATAGTTTCGCAAGTTGTCGGCGAGACCGTGGTTTAGTCGTCACAGTATTCGAGAGCGCGCAATTAGAATTTTAACTGAAGAGGAAAAAACATTAGGTCCCCGGGTTAACTTGACCTCGAACGTAATGTGAGCATTTTGAGTCTGGTAAATTACCAGTAGCGTATTCTGCGTTCTTCCTTGTTTGACGACAAGAAAATAACTACGTTGCGCTAGGTTGCGGTTATCAGTGGGAAATCCCTTTCTAGTTGTGACTCAGAGAAATTGAAAAATTAAGCGGGATTAGTGGGGCTGCACTTCAGGGGCGAAGGAAGTTCTGTCGAAATAACCTTCGACCAATACTTAACACAGACTTAACTCTGAACATACCCCGTGCTTTGTTCATATGTTCAATTTTAAAAAACAGAGACCAATGCTGCCAATGCATTGGAAGTATGCAACCAATGTTACACGAATTTCACCTGATTTAAAAATAGCTATTTCGATTTGTTTCTTTCGAGGTCTATAAATCAAATTGCAAATAATTTGTTATAAAATGTATGTATCACCATGTATATGTATGTATAACTAACCGTTGCCATGTTAATTGCTTAAAAAATATTCATCATAATACGTATAATTGAGATTTGCAATTAAATTGATACAGCTTCAGCTATTACTGTGTGGTTAACTGGATTATTCGTAAACTATTTTGACAGGGCTCAAAAAAGAAAGCACTTAATATTTGTAAGTAATCTAATCTTATATTTTATATAAACTTAACAAGAATAGAGAGTTTTAATGATTCAAACATTGCACTTCTTCATCACTTTCTTTAATGTTTGATTCTTGATTCTGAACATTTTTTTCCAGTAATATAACATAGTAAAAAAATTTGTCTAAAATTATTTAGACAAAGGTCCCTCACCCCTGAAGCATAGGCGAAGAAATACAGGTTCTTCAAAAAGTTACATCTTTGTTTTTTTTTATTTATAATAACCCCTATCAGTTAAAATAAACATATGTGTTACTGTTAAAGTACAGTGACGGAAATTTAAAGTACGGCATCAAGTTGGTATTTTCATGAATGTTTTACTAATGTTGGGAAACTAGGCTTTTATTACCTGGGTTTGCTTTGTTAATGCTGTACTATTTTTTCCACGGTGATTTGGAATTTTCTATATGACGCAATAAAGCAATACATATTTACAATCGACAAAAAGTGTTGTTTGACTTTAAATTTCGGCCACTGCACAGGTAAAGAAGCATGCTATGCGTATTTTCAAGTGAATTTTCCCATAACAAAATTTTGTAATGACGTGATCAACATTTTAGCAAAGACACATACTGGGGCATTTTTTTAACTCTGAAAATATGAAAGTAAGTTTGCGCTTAATCTCTATCTAAAATACAGGAACTAAAAACACTTTATTTCAACTAAAAAATTTTTAGTGTCGAATCTGCCATAAGATTAACCAGCTGTTACCTACCTGATTACAAACTAACAACTAACAATAATTTCAATGAAATTCCTTACCTCAACAGTACGATTTTCACCAAGAAACATGAAGAACTCAGGGGGTGCACTGGTGGTTAAGCTTATGTGACTGAATCAGCTTGGAGCGCGCCCAAATTAATAATTTCATAACTTCAGAACGAACTTTTTCTCGCTTAAGCAAAGCGAATCGTTCGATGGAGCTTACGCAAAATTATCTAGGAGTGCCAAAATCTGTTTTAATTTGAGTCTAACTTACCAACGAAGAGTTTTGATCCTTCAATTGTGCTGCATACAAGCGTTCGTGGAATTTTTGCAGTACATAAACTTCAAGAAAAAACTACACATTTCAATCTTCGATAAATTCTTTAATTCTACATATAAAACATTCGAATTCATTAGGATAAGTCGCTATATTTACAATCTTAAAGAAATTACATTGTGATCAACAAGTACTGTTTCAGTTGGTATCGATGAATTTTGCTTGAAATTGGTAGACCTTACTTTCTATGGTAAAAATTAACCTAGTTAATAGTGACATTTAATTTACGTCAAAATTTGTTATTTGTATTGTTATTGATCATTATTAAACTGTCATGACCAAACTGTCTTCTACATTTGAATTAGGTTTGGCAATAGCAGCAGAAGCCAAAAGAAAATTTTCTCAGAATTGGTTAATTATACAGCCAACCTACACAGTACTACTTGTTGATCACGCTATTTATTCTACAAAAGCATGTCTTAAATCACTAAAATATGTGGGCATTCCTCTATAAATTTTTAGAACTGGATCTGAACATTCATAACTTTAATGACACATATCGTTTTATTGTTTTTCTTTTCAATTTAACTCATCTAAAAAATTGATGACGATATTTACTCGTAATTCTCATTTACGACGGTTGGTGAAAGTGATTGACAGCGTATTATTGATTGACGAGTGACACTATTGACGGAAGTTCAAAAAACAGTACAATGCGAGCGGCACAACAAGAATTACATTTAAATAAATTTCAAAGCTAACTATATGAAAATCATCGCATTACATACTTGAGCATATACTGACAGTACATAGAGTAAATGCTCAGATATATAAGAGCAAATACTTATTAATACTCAAGTAGGTACTTCGTACGTCGAGTATGAGCATCTACTCAGCTTTATTCATACCAACCAGTGTCTCAGTTTAATAAGTAAATTTAACAAGTAAAACGGAACATCAACACATATTACCAGACCTCTTTTTAATCGATAACAGTCTACATTACTGTCGAAGTTTGTTTAAATGAATAAAGACCAGCGAACAGTAAGATAAATGTATATTGCTAGTGACAAGTGTTAGGATAAATAAGAATGATAAGAATAGAATAGTATATGACCGTGCGGTCGAGATAGATGAATGTTAGTTGCGACTTGAGAATTGAGAATTGAATGTGTATGAATGAGTTAAGAATTAAGAATTGAATGCTACCCTGTGTTCCAAGGTGGGGGTGGCTCTGGCTCCCACCCTTACGGGTGGGGAGGGGTGAAACAGGTCCCCGCCAGAGGCTCTAACATAACCCCCCGCCTTGAAACAATTACATTGTTTTAAGACCAAAAATAAACTATATAGAACATTAGAATGAAAACATGATTTAGTAATGATAAATACAGATGAAATTACATGAATTGGGTGGACATTGTTACAGAAAGCAATGAACCTGAAGAAATGCATTAAACTTTAAAAAAAGATATCTAAAACAAATTACATGTGTACAATATCAGTGAATACACAATATTTACAATAGACCTAAAAGTAAATTTACAACAATTATAATGTACCAAATCAATGAATAATACGATGAGTGAATAATATGGCGAATGAATATAACAATGGTACAAATATGAATACATAGAACATAGTAAAATAAATCAACAATGTATATAACAAATTGACAAGATGTATGCAATATGGTTAAATAGAATGATAATGCATGCGATTGCGAAATTATCTTTTGCACTTCACCGACACTACACACACCACCACTTCCTTTCCAAAATGGTGTTGGAGGGCCGCGTCCTAACCGCCACTGTAGACGTGGAAATTTCTCCTCCTTCAAGAGGACCCATCTTGCCATTCCTGGAACGTTGGAAGATGGCCTTTGCCACCCTAACCTGCCCCTCAGTGTGGTCAAATATTCGAGGTACCACGACTTCCAGAAGTGTTGATGGTAAGCGTGGATGAGGTGCCAAGGGATGGCCTGTTGATGGGAACGACGGCGTGGTCTTTTCCTGAGGGACCAGTTGATGGCTGGCCGAAAGAGGCATTGGCCAGGTATAAATGCGACCAAATTATTGCGGTCGCTGGACAGAGGCTTCGAAAGGCGCGAATTCAGGACGGCTTTAACTCTGACAATGAGCGCATACACGCCCTCGCCCTCAAGATGGTTTTTATCAGTAATTTCGTTATACTTCCGGCTATTCATATTTAAACTCTTTGAACTAAGATTTAAACGGTCAACAACCACGCAGAGTTTAGTGACAGAAATGTAAAGATTTAAAACATAATTGTGTTGCAGGTAAATGGAATTATTTAACGAATTTTCGTTAAGTACCTTCAGGTGCACAAGGTCTAGGTACTTCCTTTGAGAGACAATAAAACCCTCGTTACGTTTATGATTACGCCCCTCTGCTAACAATAGCAGTTGGAGAGCGAGTTCTGGGGAATTTCCTAATTTAGGTAGATTTTCAAAATAAGGGACTGTGGAACTCCCCAACTTCCTCTCGACTGATAATAGCCACTTTGGATGCATTTGTGGAAAATTCTCTAACCGCGGCTGATTTTCCGAAAAGGGGTGTTTGACCATGAAATAACCATCGGGTGAATGGCCTGTGGTAGTATACTGAAAAGGGGTTGCACAAAGATCGCTTTTAAACCCTTTGCTTAATAACCTGCTTCCGGTTTTGACGGTTTCAGCTTCCAAGAACCGAGAAATAATTTGGCCTGAATTAATTTTGTGAGGGTGGGAAGTATTATTTTTTAAATATGCAAAACTGCCGCTAAGAATCAACCCCAGCGCGGTATTTTGAAGCACCGGTGGGTTTTTACTGAAATGACTTATTATTTTGGGTATGGCATTTTCGGAATGTTTTTTCTTGTCGAGTATTGCTACGTTTGACGTATTGTCTTTAATATTCGAGTCTACGGATTTACATAAATATTGCGATCTACATTTAAATTGGTTACAGACTAACAATGAGTCACAGTTTTTCGAATTAACTGGAGGACTTTTTACTTTGTCTAGTGCGGTAGTTGACTCTGCATTAGAAGTTTTATCTAAATTAATTTGACATACGCCTTCGGAGTTGTAACAATCATTAAAAAGACGATTTTTCTCTTCATTGGGTGTTGAATTTGGAAATTTTGAACGATTTGATATTATACTAGGAGTTCTTGAAATAACGGAATTAAGAGGGGATTTTTTACCAATAGTGAACGGCAATTTACGTAGAGCATTGAAATGGGTTTTGTGAATTTTGATGGGTTCTCCATTTCTTAATTTGTGTACCTTTAAAGGCTTTAAATTTTGACAAGTTTTTTCCAGATCCGTGGTTGGTACGTTAGTGTTTATCTTACATGAATTCGAGAAAGTACACAATGGATTAGTTTTTTCAATGAGAACATTATATAATTCGGATATTTTTTGAATATAATTTAGCACGTCTCTGATATTATAAATTATAGGTTTGATCGTTTCCGTGTTACTCGTGTCATTCGGGACTACCATTGTTTCGGATTTTTGCTGAACTACAAGCATTTGTAATTCTGAATAAATTCGCTGTACGTCTTCATATCGACGCTTTAAGTGGCCTCTTTTTTGATGATTTGCAACATTTGATATAAAATTAGAATGTGAATCTATTTCGCTGAGAAGAATTGAAAATTTAACAAAAGTATTGTCTTGGATTACCACCATCTTGAGTACGAGAATAAATGTATTACACCAACCAAACAGAATTAAAGCTTACTTGGAATCCTGGATTCCTGGATAGAATTATCTTGGCTGACGCTGAATGATACTTGAGGATTTTGCACAGCACTCGCGGTCGTCACCGATAGTTGAACACTGCGCGGATGATTTCTAGGTGATGTTTTGATAACTACTTTGCTGAATTCCAGCCGATGAATGATATGTTGAGAATTACACTTATCACTACCACTGTTATTCTGTCGCTAATCCGGCTCGAAGGACCATGTCGAAGTTTGTTTAAATGAATAAAGACCAGCGAACAGTAAGATAAATGTATATTGCTAGTGACAAGTGTTAGGATAAATAAGAATGATAAGAATAGAATAGTATATGACCGTGCGGTCGAGATAGATGAATGTTAGTTGCGACTTGAGAATTGAGAATTGAATGTGTATGAATGAGTTAAGAATTAAGAATTGAATGCTACCCTGTGTTCCAAGGTGGGGGTGGCTCTGGCTCCCACCCTTACGGGTGGGGAGGGGTGAAACAGGTCCCCGCCAGAGGCTCTAACAATTACGTTTCGGGAACGATTTTATCTTCCATAATTTTTAACAAAAATGTTATTGTTTTGCCACCAAAGTTTGGATTTAAACGCGCGTTATGTATCGGCAACCGACCATCTCCATCTGGAATATCCATTTTCGCACCTCTCTTTCTCATAAAAAAAATTATATCAAATCCTTCGAAACAATTTTTGCACGCATAGTGCATCGGTAACTGTCCACCTCCGTCTGGAACGTCCATTTTCGCGCCCTTCTTCCCCAGTATTTTTACTAGATTTAAACTTCCGAGTTCACAAGCATAATGTATAGGCCGCCGGCCATCTCCATCCGGAGCATCCACTTTCGCACCATTCTTTAACAATAATTTTACTACATCTAAATCTCCATGTTCACAAGCATAATGAAGTGGCAGCTGACCGTTTGTATCCGAAACGTCGGTTTGCGCTATTAATTTTAATCCATCTAAATGCCCTTTTTCACGTGCAATATGTATGAGACGTTTCCCTTTTCTATCCTTGTCATTCAAATTGGCTTGCCTGAGAATTAAGGAACCTAACGTCTTAGTTAATTTTTTCTCACATGCATAATGCACCAGCGATTGCCCTCTTGAATTTGGCACGTCTATTCTAAACTCTGGCAAGTGTAACGCAAAAGTCAATATTTCGTCTATTTCTGAATCTAAAATTAAAAGTTCTTCTACACAGTCCCATTCGGAATGATTTTGGTTATCAGAAAGCAGTTTTTTTAATATTCGCTCTGATCTGTTAAAAAGGGCCAAAGCTAAAACACTTCTTAAACTAATATTATTGTATGTGTTTTTTAAAAGAATAGAATTTTCGATACATTCAAAAATCACTGGAAAATCAAACCTAATTGCATAATATAGAACTGCCACTAAATACTCTTCAACAAACTGATTCCCGTCATACAATGGAATCAAAAATGGTAAGAGAATCATCAATTTTTTGAAACAGATATCACCTGATGCACTGAATTTGCAAAATTTTGGGGCTACATCACGATAATTTAGAGTTGCAAAGACTTCTTTATCATTAGTAATTATCCATTCTTTATTAAAACTGTTACCTTTCAAAAGAATATTATTTTGAACAAGTGGATAATTTTTATTCCACGCACAAGCCACTTCCAAAATGTCACGACCAATAATATCTTTTTCAAGTAAATATGCATCAGTAAATTCTCCTAGAATTGTAAGATTCTTATAGATAACACCTACTAAACATTTAGAATTTCTCGCAAGCATTAGATCTAAGAAAAATCGAATGTTTCTATGACGACTGTTAGAAATAAATTTTCTGTCACGGGCTTTAGAACTTTTGTGCTCAAATAGATACAGAGCTGCAAAATATTCACCGTACGAATTGTGAACGAATTCAACATCATACCTAGATATAACGCCCGCTATAAATCCCACGTCGTCTCCTTGGTTTTTATTTTTTTTTAGAAAATTCTTAGTCGTTTGACCATAACCGAAGAACTTATTTTTAATTTTATTTTTTAGAGAGTGAAAAGTGTAATAACTTGCAGCTAAAATTTTATAATGCTTCATTCTAGCGTTCTTTTCGTTTTCAAAATACTGGTTATTCTGTTCATTTCTTAATGTAATTTCTTGTTTGTCGCGGTATAGAACATGAAATTTTTGTTCTACAAAATGTTCGTATAGATCAATAACTGTGAAAATACCGTCTAACAAAGTCAGGTATTTGTCTATGTCACTTAAAAATAATTCTGTGAGCATATAAATTTGTAGAGGAATGCCCAAAATTTCATAATTTGGAAAATACATTAAGTTTTTTTTTATTTTATTGAAAGTTTCATTTACCTCGTTTTCGGAAATCTGCAAACGACTTTTAATGTATTCTCGTTGTTCGTTATCATTAAACTGTTTTATATTTCGCGCAAACACATTTAACTTATGTTCTAATGTGTCTTTTAAGTTCTTACGAGAAGTTATCCACTGCTTCACACCTTTCTTTGAAAAAGTTTGTACTAGGGTTAAAATGGAATTCTGAGTTGCGTCAGTGGTTTCATCAAGTCCATCCCATATTAGTTGTATTTGATTCTGTTCCAACATTGTTTCGAACACTCTCTGGTGGAACGGGTTTGTGCATTCCTTAGAAATGTCTTCTAGGACGTATTTTGAAAAATTCTCCAAGTCTGATCCATGTTTCCTGAAGTGTAAGGCATGATTTCTAGCGTAGATTAAAATGATCCATTTTGACGAAGAACTGCTCTTTTTTAAACTCTTCATTAACGTACTTTTTCCCATTCCAGGATCAGCACAGATAATGTTGATATTTTGCCGAGAATGATTGAAGTGTTGGCGCTCGCCTACAGTGTATTCCGTAACTTCATTGTGTAGACGAAACCTCTTGAGTTCCTTAATATATTCTTGCTTCGAGTTACAATTCCCAGTTTCTATCCATTCCAAATGATGTTTGTCTAAATATCGAAAGTGATGAAATACAATTTCTGAATTTTTTTGGCACAATGAAAAAAATTTCTTATGCGAAACATCATTTCCACAAATGTAGATCTTCTGCTCATGAATTGTGCTCTGGATGACGTCAGCGTCATTTACTTCGCTGATTACTAAATTTGGTAAAATTATTTGAAAAGAACTGACATCTGTTGCACAATCAACCAAAACAATTGTATTCTCACCAATATTTTTCAAGAATTTAACATCTATTAAAAATTTTGTCAACTTTCTTTTAATGTGACTGGGTGGCAGTACATCTTTATATTTTCCAATCTGCAATGGGGCTTCCATCATTTCAACGAAATCATCTGTGGTGATGTTATCTTCGCAAATTTTCAGCAAAAATTTCAACTTCTTGGGTTTTTGACCTTGCAATGAGTAGGTAAAATTCGTCAGGATTTCTTCGTACAACTGTACGTGTTCCTTTAAATCTGACAACTTTTGAAACTGATAGGGTTTTTTCTGGCCACCTGTACTGTCATGATACAGGTCAGTACAATTTCTCCTAAGATTGTCAGTAAATGTTTCTTGATTATCTAGTACAATTAGATTTTGCGGTTGACATATTTTTATTGCTTTATAAACTTGTGGGCATCCTTCAACTACCAAAGGACTTTTCCCTCGTAACCACATGAGCTTCGATAATTCTGTTGCGTCCTTACCATAAAGACTTTCCTTTTTCTCTATTACGTTCTCGGTAAGTTGGTGCTTATTATTAATTTTAATCGTTTCTTCTGTATCATCCGTATCCTCAACAGCATTTGACCAAAGTGACTCAATTTTCTCGAAATTGTTTTTATTTATAACCGTCAAGTCGAATTTCGAAATAGCTTCTCTAAAAATTTTTGTTCTGGCGTTCACCGGTCGTCCACCGGCAACAAAAGATAATGGTTTGATAAAAGGTGAAAATACACAAAGGGTTATCAGGTGTTTCATTGACATTTTATTTAACTTGAACTTGTTTCCTTCCTTCATGCTCCACTGAGTTATACAATGCAGATACTCCCGAAAAGCGGTTTCGTTGCTTTCGAAATATGCCTTGAACATCTCAAGTGTACATGTTTCCAGTTCTACGGTATCTGTTTGAGCAGTATAGAGATACAGATTTTTAAAAAAAGATCCGTATTCTTTGAATTTATCTTCGTTTTCTTCGAATCTGTAACACTGTCCTCCCAACGTGTACTTAACAAGCGATCTTGTTCACATGGCGTCAATTTGCCAAATTTAAACCGATCTATGTGCTCATCGTTTAGCTTAGAATTAGTAAATAAAACCATCTTGATAGACGGTTCAGACAACTTCGGCTCTTTTTTGAAGTCTTCATAATACTTCTCGACGCTAAAGTTTCCTTTAGGTGCGTTTAACTGCTCGATTTGTATTCCCCCTGTTCTGTTGAGGTGTTTCAACTGGATAGCGAACGTTTCAGTGCGATCTTTGAATTTAATTTCAACTACAACGTCATCGAAAGAACCATATGCACTATCGTTCGACGACAAATAAAAATTTTCTACGTCATCGTCAATAATTAATTTTAAAACTAAGTTTGCTATGTATAGATGTTCGTAGTCTTTTCCTTTGTCAGTCGTGCCACTTCTCTTCTTGAACATCTAAAAAGAATGTTTCAGTTATTTTTTTTTCCTTGAAAGAGGTCCACTGTCATGAAAGACATGCACCTGTTTTGAATTTTGAATTTTTATTTTATTTTATTTTTGAATTAAGTACAATAAAATAAATCCACTTAAAGCATAACATCTACGAAGGATTAGCGACTGCTAAACGTTACTCTTATTATACTATTTTAATTTTTCGCGAAAATCTATAGGATAAAAACTCAAGACGGATTCATAAATCACAAGTACAGAAATACGTCGGACGGACGGACAGACGAACAGACGGATAAACTTTAAAGTCATGGTATATCATTGAACGAAAGGACTCTCCTTTTAACTCCACGTTTCTACCACTTTCACTCGCTCTACAGTTTCTAATAACTTATACACAGTGATGACCTGACACTTACAATACTGTCGCGTTTCAGTTTAGGGGTTAGTTTATCAATTTTTAAAGAAATTTTAATATCTAGGAGAACTCCTTTAACTGAGGACAACTTGGAAAAAGTTGTAAATGTTTCTGTGAATTGTCAGTAATCGCCGACGGATGCCAGTGATGCACCACTTCCGTGAAACTGAAGATAGATAATCATAAACAAAATTTCCATTCGATGGTTTCACACAAACGGAGGAAAAATATTCAGTGAAACAAAACTAGCAATCCATCTTTGCGTTGGTCACGAATAAACCTCCAAAAAAATATAGGATCGCGTGAAATGCTGCTACCGATTTGTGCAATGAATCAGGAAAAAAGCAATTTGTTAAGATTTTTACAAGAAGATCGCAAAGATTTAAAGTGCTGATAAACGACCAAACTGTCAGTAAACTCTGAATGTGCTAATGTTTTCCGAAAACACATCGATTTCAACTCTTTATCAAACATTTAATACATCACCAATAGGACAAGTTATGTGGACTAACGAAAGACAAAGAGGGAAGAATCAATTATTATTAAACAGAAATTGAATTGATAATAACCTTAGTGCGTAGAAAGTGAAAGTAAATCACACTCTAAGGAAGCCAACAAAAACTTAAAGATAAGATAAATTTTATCGCACTACCAAATGTTTAAAAAAAAAATATGTACTACGTATTATTTTCTTACCTCAACACCAAGTTTTAACTTCCAATTCTAATGCACAAGGACACACTGTAGTGTAAAACTGATGAAAATTCAAAACTGATATGCACCAGAAAAACATGAAAACTCAGGAGCAACCCAAAACGTGGTCGGTACGTGGCGTTTATCACTTAATAGTAATTAATAAAGTTACTAGGCGAGAGAACTTCTGTCGAAATAACCTTCGAACAATAATTGTTTACGTTAAATGAGCTTTCAATTTGGATTCATCTTATTCTTACTTTTATCTAAAAACTGTTACTGTAAAACATATCATACGTAAGCGAAATTTCATTTTAATCTCGTGAGATAAGATCGCTCGTGTTCCAATTATCACTCGCTTATAATAGGCATATCAATTTCTCTCACTCATAATTTATAGTATAAAATATTACGTGTTTAATACAGTAAAAAAAATTATCTCGATATAATTGAAATGGAAGTGATATAAATATAGTGATCTTATTATCGGTTTGTTTAACAATAACGTCAAATTTAGGATTAAAAAAAAATATATGCCAACTTAAAATGTTTGTAAGACTTCAGAGCATTTTTGCAATTTTTAAGTTAAATCGTAAAATGTTACTATAAAATTTTGACTTCTATTCCAAAAATCCGGATGTCTAGAACTAAAATTAGGATGGAAACATAAGAAACCACGGGAGAAAGAAGGATCGTTTTATAAAATTTAAGTGGTATTTCCTTTATAAATGATCAGACACGTTTTGGTTAACGGTTTATTATCTGCACGATGTTGCTAAAATACATATTCAATTTTATAATGATCACTCCAGTAGTTTCGGAGATTATCTGTCTATTGTAATCGCCAACAAACGATAGACAGACGAAAATGGAAGACCACTTTTTTCGGACTCAAGAGGCCATAAAACTTCGAAAAAACATGAAAGTGGCAAGTGTCCGATAGACTCTATTACTATACTAAAATGACAGTATATAGATGTAATTAAACAATGTACAGTCGGGAAAATTTAAAGTGGTAGACTTTTATTTTTAAAATCATTAGAAGATACAAATTTTCAAAGTAGCACAGGCCCCTTGCTGAAGATCAAAAAAAGCAATTTCAACAATAAAAATAAAATTTGTCAAGTTGGTCTTTTTTATTAACACAAATCCTCGTGTTAATTTTTTTAAAAAATTGGTAGGTGCGGATGCAACAAACTTTACATCTATGAAAAACGACAGTATAAAATTTTAGTGTCACTGTCAAATAACTGTCAAATTATAAAACTACATAACCTAAAATTCCACATGCACGCAAACATATTTGAACACGGCTGATTTTTTTTCCAAATTCCTTTTAACTCTTCCAAGAGACGACAACAGTAAACAGACAGGAATATCTTTCAAACTATAACTCATGGTTTTAAATTAATTCCACTGTTAAGTACGTATGGTATCATAACCTCTCCAACAGTTCTCAGTAACGACCACTTTTCAGGCACTCAACCACCAACCATGCGAAAACCTTGGGAGCAACTCGGTGTACCCCTCCACGAAGAAATCCAAAAAGGCATCAAATCGTTCAATTTTCCATCAATGACACCAATCCAAGCAGCTACCATACCACAACTAATCAACAAGAAAGACGTGGTAGCTGAAGCCATCACTGGATCTGGCAAAACTTTGGCTTTTCTGATTCCGTTACTGGAGATACTGAAGAGACGACAGGAGGATAAATGGAGGAAACACGAAATCGGCGCGTTGATCATCTCACCAACGCGCGAATTAGCTCTGCAGACTAAGGAAGTTCTGGAACAACTTCTGAAATTTGTTTCGGTAATTATTCCTCAAGATTATTTAGCCGTAAAATCAACGATCGTAATTTAAAAAATACACTTTGTAGGGTTTGACCCACCTCTTGCTTGTCGGCGGCAACTCCATCGAAGAAGACCTCACCACCTTCAAACAAAACGGCGGCAACATCATCATCTGCACCCCTGGAAGATTCGAAGACCTTTTATCAAGAAAAACAGACATCAATTTCACAACTTCACTAAAAAGCCTCGAGATTCTCATTCTAGATGAAGCAGATCGCCTTCTAGACTACGGTTTCCAAAAATCCATTGACACCATTTTAAGCTATCTACCCAGACAACGTCGCACCGGTCTCTTCTCAGCCACCCAAACCAAGCAATTACAGGACTTAATCCGAGCAGGCCTCCGGAACCCCGTTCTTGTCAGCGTCAGCGTTAAAGCCAAACACAGCACACCCGAACAACTAAACAACTACTACATCGTTACCAACCACAACAATAAGTTGGCAGCAGTGTTGTCGTTCATAGAAAACGAGAAAGTCCACAAGGCGATGTTGTTTCTACCGACTTGCGCAACCGTGGACTACTGGTCCGGAATATTCCCTCATGTTCTAAAAGACGTCCCTGTGCTGGCAATGCACGGAAAAATGAAAGACAAACGTAAAAAAATTCTAGAACGTTTCAAAAACTTGTCCAAGGGTTTGTTGCTGTGTACCGACGTTCTAGCAAGGGGTATAGATATTCCAGAGGTGGACTGGGTGCTCCAGTGGGATCCCCCAGCGAACGCCAGCGCTTTCGTGCACAGGGTCGGACGCACGGCGAGACAAGGCCGCGAGGGCTCCTCTTTAATTTTTCTCCTAGACACCGAAGAACCCTACGTTCACTTCATCGAAAAAAACCAACGCGTCAAACTCGAACCCCTTGAAGACACCTCCACTACCACCTCACCACTAGTCGAAACTCTGCGCAATCTGCAAAAAACCGACCGAGATTTAATGGAAAAGGCAACCCGAGCTTTCGTTTCTCACATCAGAGCCTACTCAAAACACGAGTGTTCTCTGTTGTTAAAAGTGAAGGAATTGCCTTTTGGGGATGTCGCCTCGACGTACGGACTGCTCCAGCTGCCGAAGATGCCAGAGCTGAAGAACTTCGATGGTGGGGGTTTCGTTACAGAGGAAGGGGTGGATTTGAACGCGGTTCCGTATAAGGATAAACAGAGGGAAGCTGTGAGGAGGCAAAAGTTGGAGGTTTATAAAAAAACGGGGGCGTGGCCAGGGCGGAAAGTGAAGGTTATTAAAAAAGAGACAGAGGCGTGGTCGGTTAGTAAGCAAAAGCGGGCGGAGAGAAAAGAGAGGAAGTTGAAGAGGAAGCAGGTGAAAGATGAAGGGGGTGGGGGGAAGAAGAAGCGGAAGAAAGGGGGGATTAGTGAGCAGGAGATGAGTGAGTTGGCGGAGGATATCGCGTTGATGAAGAAGTTGAAGAAGAAGAAAATTAGTGAGGATGAGTTTGAGCGGAAGTTTGGTGTGGCGTGAGGTATAATTGAGGAAAAAACATTTCGGAGACTTTCCACGGTGATAATGTGCCTAATCGTTGTAATTATCGTTATTAAAAATTGAATGATTGATACATTCAGAATTTTATTCGTGTTGGAAAAAAATAAAACATTTTCCGTAAGAAATTAATTTATTTATTTTATTCTTTTTTCTAACACAGAAAGCATATAAACATATCTATTTTAATTCAAACATTTATTCTTTGGAAAGTACGGACAGTATGAAATGTATTTAAAGCAAGTAACCAAAGGGAAAAAATGCTTTTCGAACAATTAAAACATTGGAATAACGGAAAAAGTACCTATTCACTTAAATTTCGAAAATCGTCAAAAATTGGTCGAAATTTGCACGGAGAAAATTTCATTTTTGAAATGGTTGTCTAAAAATTCTGAAACAATTCAGGGATGTGTATCCCGACGTGCTGATCCCGAAATTATAGCGAGTTTATGGTCGCTTTAAAATGAGAATTTTTTAAAATTTGTAAAAATTTCGATATTTCAACGGACTATTCTGGAAAAACGGCTGCACTGGTCAAAGAAACGATGCCGGAAGTGAGTTCTAGATCTCGAAATCTACAAGAAAATGTATTTAGTTGAGTTTCGAAAATGTCAAAATTTGGCCTAAATTTGAAGAAGGGACCATTGGAAAATTTTCACTTTTAAAAAATTCGTCTAAAAATTGCAAAAAAATTCAGGGGCATAGATCTCGACATGCTGATTCCAAAAATATAGCGTGTTGATGGTCAAGGGGCAACATTTTCGAAAGAATCGCTTTAAAATGAGAATTTTTGAAAATTTCGATATTTCAACGGACTATTCTGGAAAAACGGCTGCACTGATCAAAGAAACGATGCCGGAAGTGAGTTCTAGAGCTCGAAATCTACAAGAAAATGTATTTAGTTAAGTTTCGAAAGTGTTAAAATTTTACCGAAATTTGAAGAACCGGGGACCATTGGAAAATTTTCACTTTTAAAAAATTCGTCTAAAAATTGCAAAAAAATTCAGGGACGTAGATCTCGACATGCTGATTCCAAAAATATAGCGTGTTGATGGTCAGGGGGCAACATTTTCGAAAGAATCGCTTTAAAATGAGAATTTTTGAAAATTTGTAAAAATTTCGATATTTCAACGGACTATTCTGGAAAAACGGCTGCACTGATCAAAGAAACGATGCCAGAAGTGAGTTCTAGAGCTCGAAATCTACAAGAAAATGTATTTAGTTAAGTTTTGAAAATGTGAAATTTTGGCCGAAATTTGAAGAAGGGGGGAATATTGGAAAAATTTCACTTTTAAAAGAGTCGTCTAAAAATTGCAAAAAAATTTAGAGACGTGGATCTCGATATGCTGATTCGAAAAATATAGCATGTTGATGGTCAGGGGGCAACATTTTCGAAAAAATTGCTAAGAAATGCGAATTTTTGAAAATTTGTAAAAATTTCGATTTTTCAACGGACTATTCTGGATAAACGGCTGCACTTATCAAAGAAACGATGCCGGAAGTGAGTTCTAGAGCTCGAAATCTACAAGGAAATATGTTTAGTTAAGTTTCGAAAATGTCAAAATTTGACCGAAATTTGAAGAAGGGGGGACCATTGGAAAATTTTCACTTTTAAAAAAGTCGTCTAAAAATTGCAAAAAAATTTACGGACGTAGATCTCGACATGCTGATTCCAAAAATATAGCGTGTTGATGATCAGTGGGCAACATTTTCGAAAGAATAGCTATGAAATGCGAATTTTTGAGAATTTCTAAAAATTTCGATATTTCAACGGACTTTTCTGGAAAAATGGCTGCACTAATCAAAGAAACGATGCAAGAAGTGAGTTCCAGAGCTCGAAATCTACAAGAAACTGTATTTAGTTGAGTTTCGAAAATGTCAAAATTTGGCCGAAATTTGAAGAAGGGGGGGGGGGGGATTATTGAAAATTTTCACTTTTAAAAAATTCGTCTAAAAATTGCAAAAAAAATTCAGGGACGTAGATCTCGACATGCTGATTCGAAAAATATAACGTGTTGATGGTCAGGGGGCAACATTTTCGAAAGAATCGCTATGAAGTACGAATTTTTGAGAATTTCTGAAAATTTCGATATTTCAGCCGACTATTCTGGAAAAACGGCTACACTTATCAAAGAAACGATGCCGGAAGTGAGTTCTAGAGCTCGTAATCCGCAAGCAAATGTAGATATTTTAACGGTCCATACTGGAAAATCGGTTGCACTTAGCGATAAAATGATGCCGGGAGTGAGTTCTCGAGGTCGAAATCTATAAGATAAAGCGTCGAGAAAACATAAAAGTAGCGAGTCGCCCAATGAACTCGAAGAAAAAAGTAGAAATCTTGCAATCTGACAAAGTTGTCGATACTAAGTTACGCCACTGGCAACTAACCCTGGTGCCAACCATTCTGATAAAAATCACTATAATGACAGCATATAACCCAACTTTTCGCCCTCTACGAATGCATTAAATAAAAATAAAATGTTTATCCACGGTTCTAGAAATGGTACAAGTGTTCCACTGGAATCGTCGTTTGTTCCAATGTCGCTTTATATGCATTGCAACAACCATAATTTTTCTCATATTCATCCACACTTTTGAGGTTAGGTGAGCCCCAGACATCCACCTACGCCCTAACCGAACGAAATTTTCAGATAACTTATCACTTCCTGAACGCGTGCACTGAAGAAGAACCCATAGACGTGGTTTACACCTGGGTTAATGGCTCTGATCCCAAATTTCAAGACCAGCTTGATTCATACCTTCGCAAGTACAAAAACATTCAAATTGATTCTTCCGCCCAACGGTACACCGATAAAAACGAGCTAAAGTTTTCCCTACGGTCGATAGAAAAATACGCGTCTTGGATTAATCATGTCTATATAGTGACAAATGGTCAAATCCCTCATTGGTTAAACTTGGACTACGAAAAGGTGACACTAGTCACTCACGACGAAATTTTTACAGATAAATACAACCTTCCCACTTTTTCTAGTCCGGCAATCGAGGCGCATTTACACAGGTGAAGCCCATAACCCCATTTTCATAAACTTATTTAATATTGCAGAATCCCAGGTCTTTCCAAGCGGTTTATTTATTTTAACGATGACGTCTTCTTGCGGTCCCCGGTCTTTAGAGACGATTTTTATTCACCTAGTCGTGGCTTCCTGGTTTACTTGTCGTGGCTGCTTCCAATGTGTGCCCCTGAATGTTTGTGGCTGTATGTAGCCGATGGCCACTGTGATAAAGCTTGTAATAACATAAAGTGTCAGATGGATGGGGGCGACTGTGACGACACATCAAAGCCACTTCTGGGGGATGTTATAGTAAAATTCGAGGATTACGATGTAGTAGAGACAAATTACACTAAATTACTAGCTACATTACAGAACACAACCACACGAACTTTTAAAGTGGACCACACTGTTAACATATCGAATTTGATCTCCCAACACAACAAAAAAGTATTGTTTTTGGATAAGTTGAAACGTCGGAAGTTACGCAAAAAGTTTTCTCAACGTGTATATAATCGGAACGTGGACGCGTATGCCGATTCCCTGCAACACACTAACCGGATTTTGAATGAGTTTTATGGTTTTTCAGTCCGGAAGGTGCCAGCACATGCTCCTATTATGGTGGATAGGGAGATAATGGAACAAATGCAAATGAAGTTTGCCAAGTATTTTCAAAAGACTGCATGGAATCGCGTCCGAAGCGTAGATGATATACAGTTTTCATTCGCATACTATTATTTTCTTATCCACGAAAAGAATGAGTTCAGTATTGATGAAATCTTCGATCAGTTTGACACAGATATGTCTGGGTTTGTCAAACAATTCGTACGAAGTAGGCCCCAAATTTTATTAACGTTTTGTAGAGAATGGTCTGATGTTGAAGTCCGTACTGTCGTCACAAAACTCTATGACCTACCCATAACAGACGAAATCTTTGCTCATTTCACCCACATGTTAGTGAATTGTTCTAGTCGATCAGTCCTACCCACCTTACATATCACCAAAGAGTTCGTGCGCAACTGCCCACTGCTTTCGACGTTCCTAAAACTAAACCTGGCCATCACTCACAAGTACAAGTTTGAATTGATTAAAGAAGCTGATAAGAAACACGTTTCCTTTAAGATGTTGAACTCAAATGTTACCCAAGTGATCCGCCAATTGGACGACGTTAGAAAAAATGTTAAGTGAGTGTTGTTTGTAAAGGTTTTGTGATCGTAACTGTGCATTTTTTGCAGAAAATTTGTTTGTCTGAATGATAACCTCGACCAACTGCGGATTTCCGACAATCGAGTCGTTCAAAGGCTGATGTTAGATTTTTATATGTCGTTGTTTCCGGTTCCTAGTAAGTTTGAGTTGCCTGAGGACTATAGGAACAGGTTTTTGTATATGGAAGATTATAAGGAGTTGGTGGATAAGCAAAATAGGAGATTTAAATTGACGTGTATTTTCCTGGTTGTGATAACTTTTGTTTTATTTTTGAATTTTTTTAGGCGGAGGGTGTGCGAATTTATTGACCGGCTGTTTTGTTGAAAGTTTTAATAGAGAATTTTACAAGAATGTTGGTTTTTGTTACCTAAAAAGTCCAACAAATGCAATGTGAAACAACGCGTATAAAAACCACAGTTGTCGATTTACGTGTGTAAAAGTAATGGCGCATTTATTACTATAATTTTAAAAATATAAACATTATTAAAACGTTTATCTATAATTGTCGATCTATTAATTTCATTCAATTTTAGATTGTAACGAAGATAAAATCATGTTTATAATGACAGCGGTAGTTAACTTCTCTGCATATAAAAACAAATTTTAAAACAAAACCTTCACTAATAATTTATTATTTTTGACTTGTTAATTTAATCAATGTGATCTTCAGATCTTTCCAAGGTAAGCAAATTTTTCTAAACTTGCTAAGCCAAAAAATTAATAAATTCAATGATTGTTTAAGTTTTATGACCAGAATGTATCATTAAAAAAAAATATCGGTGGTAATTTCAACAGAACCTCCCTCGCCCCTGAAGTGCAGCACAAAAAATTTCAATAATAGGGGGTGCTCTACGTAAAAATGCGGGTAATATGAAATACATTTAAAACGGACAACCACAAACAAGAAAAATGCCTTTCGAAAAACTGAAAAATCAAAATATTGAAAAATTGAAACATCGGAATGTAGAGAAAGCGAGAAATAAAAAAAATAAAATATTGAAAAATTGGAAAAACCATAAACTGAAAAATTCTCACTAGTAGTATACAAATCTAGAAACTGAAAAATTCCCAAAATAGAAATCGAAAACTTGCAAAGTCGAAAAATTTTAAGAATCGAAAAATCGAAATGTTACGAGATCGAAAAATGTGAAATTTAAAAAATCGAAAAATCAGTAAAAGATCAAAAATTCGAAAAATCTAAAAATCGAAAACTGAAAAAAAGTATTAAAAAATTGAAGAATCGAGAACTGAAGAATCGGTAAATTGAAAAAATTAAAAAATCAAAAAGGCAAAAATCAAAAACCGAGAAATCGAAAAATCCAAAATTTAAATACCGAAAAATTGGAAAATAGAAGAATCGAAGAATCGAGAAATTGAAACATTTCGAACTTGAGAAACGGATAAATTTCAAAAGTGAAATGACGAAAAATTGGGAAATCGAAATATCGAGAAATAAAACATCCAAAGTCGAAAAATCGAAAGGTTGAGAAATCGAAACATCAAAAAACTGAAAATTCGAGAAATCAAAAAATGTAATTTTAAAAAATAAAAAAGTAAATTGTCGAAAGATTGAAGAATCGAAAAATCGAACAAAAATTAACGATTCGAAAATTGGATAAATCCCAAAACTAAAACATTGTTAAACTGGGAAATCGAAAAATTGAAAAAACAAAGAATTGAAAATTCGAAAAATCGTAGAATTGAAAAACTAAAAAATCGAGAAATCAAAAAGTCGAGAAATCGAAAAGTCGAAAAAACAAAAAAAAAATTAGAAACGTCAGAAATTGAAAAATTTTAAAATTGAAAAACTGAAACATCGGAAAATTGAGAAATCGAAATTTTAAAAATCGAAAAATTGAAACATCGGAATGTGGAGAAACCGAGAAATTAAAAAAAAATTGAAAATCTAAAAATCGAGCAATCGATGTTAAATGAGGAAACATAGAAAAAACTAAAAGTTTAATTATTGAAAAATTGGAAAAACCAGAAATTGAAAAATTCCTAGAATTGAAATGTTGAGAAACTGAAACATCGAAAACTTGAAAAACGTAAAATTAAAAAAAAAACATCAATAAATCGAAACGGCAAAAGTCCAAGGATCGAAAAACTGATAAATCTAAATGATCCAAAACTGAAAAAGTTAGGATTAAAAAAAACGAAAATTTTAAAAGTCGAAAAATCGAGAAATCGAGTGATCGAAACATCAAAAAAATTGAAAAATTAAAACACTGAAAGATTGAAAAATCTAGAAATTGAAAACTTTCCAAAATAGAAATGTTAAAAAACTGAGAAATCGAAAACTTGCAAAATCGAAAAGTCGAAAAATTTTTAGAATCGAAACACAGAAATGTCAAGTAATTGAATAAAAAATCGTAAAATCACTGAAAAATCAAAAAATCGAAAACTCAAAAGTGAAAGAATCAAAAAGCTGAAGAATCGAAGAACTGAAAAATCAATAAACTTCGATTTTTGAAAAATAATCGAAAAATAGAAAAAATTAAAAAATCGAAAAGGCAAAAAATCAAAAACTTAGAAATCGAAAAATCCAAAATTTAAAAACCGAAAAAGTGAAAAATTTGAAAATAGAAGAATCGAGAAATTGAAACATTTCAAACGTGAGAAACTGATATAAATCTCAAAAGTGAAATGACGAAAAATTGGGAAATCGAATTATCGAAAAGTTTAAACATCAAAAAATCGAGAAATCGAAAGTCGGGGAGTCGAAAAACCGAGAAATTGAAAAAAAATCGAAAAATTGATTAATGGAAACATCGAAATGTCGATAAATCGAGAAATGAAAAATTTGGAAAATCGAAAAATCGAAAGATTGAGAAATCGAAACATCAAAAAAATGTAATTTTAAAAAATAAAAAAGTAAATTGTTCAAAATTTGAAGAATCGAAAAATTGAAAAATCGAAAAACCAAACAATCCAAGAATCAAAATATGTATTGAAAAATCCCAAAAGTAAAACATGGAAAAATTGAAGAATGGAAAAATGTAAACCTAAAACATCATTAAACTGGGAAATCGAAAAATCGAAAAATTGAAAAAACAAAAACCTGAACATTCTAAAAATTGAAAAATCGAAAAATTGAAGAATTGCAAACTTGAAAAATCGAGAAATCAAGAAGTCGAGAAATCGAAAATTCGAAAAAAAGCAAAAAAAAAATATAGATACGTCAAAAATTGAAAAATTTAAAAATTGAAAAACTGAATCATCGGAAAATTGAGAAATCGAAATTTGAATAATCGAGAAATTGAAAAATCCCAAAACTGAAATATCGAAAAATCGAGAAATCGAAAAGTCTAAAAATTTAGAAATCGAAACTTTTTAACATTTAAACAACGTTTATTCGGCAAAATTGTAAGATGACGTCATCAATTCCTGGGGAGGGGAGCATCAACGGATAAATTTTGTTTAACGATTTATCATGCTTCCGATAATCATAAAACGTTTGCAGGGTTTCAGAGCATTCACTTCTGCAATTTCAAAGTTAAATTGTGTAGTATTGTTATACAATTTTTTTGTTTTTTCCAAAAACCTGGATGCTTGAGGTAAAAACCCAACACGGATCCATAATTCACGAAGGGAGGAGTACGTTATTTTGTGAAATTTAATTAACATTTACTATTGTAAAATTGAATATGATGTCATACGTAAAATTTAAAAATGTATGTAAAAAAGTATGTACTTTATTTTAGTCACAGAAATTCTTTTTGCGCGAGGTTCGCGTTTTTGCTTGACAGAAAACTGTAGATTCTCTAAAATGTACTTCTAAGAAAATTGGTTACTCGGGAGTGAACTCCAATGCAATTTTTTGTTTGAAAGTATTTCAAACTTGATTTTCCTAGAGACAGTACTAAAAACAAATATATGTTCTAACCATTAATAATTTTGTTAATGATTTCTGATAAAGAACTATTTACAGCGCCCTCAGGGTTTCATTAGGTGAACTTGATGAAGACAAAAATCTGCAGCATGCGATGCTCGAACCATCCCAAAATGATCTCCGAAAATTTGGTAGCCACTTCATTGGACAGTAGTCGCATTTACACAAATTATTAAAATGGAACTCTTAAATGTGGGTCATCAACAAAAATAACGTGAAAATGTGACAATTGTCAACTATAAATCTAAATTATTTAAATAAGCAGAAGTGATTATATCTATTTCAACAGATTTTCTCTCCACGTATTGTCAGTTTAATGTATAGTTACTTTTTTTTTTATTTTCTCTTACGCACAAAATTTCAAAAATTTCTAAAGATAAAATATTTGCAATTAAGATCTATCTATTACAATAGACAGAACATCATCTTCAGTTTGAAAATTGAATTCTACTAATCACAATACATTTTTAATTTTTTACATAAGCGTAACACATAATAATGTTCCTATTTGTAAACGTTTAGCAGAAATTTTGTAATTCCGCTCAAAGAGAAAGCTAATTTAGCTAATGAGATTTTTCCTAAATGAAAAGTGAGTATTAAAATTGTATCGATTATTTTAAATTATCGTTTTTCCGTTTGGGAAGTATTATTCTAACTTGTTTTTTTTAACAAAATGGTACATTTAACACGAAACGGAATGAGCTGTTTTTTAACGATGGACTTGTTACGAAAAAAAAAACATATAATAGGAGTAGTTAATTTTAGAAATCGGAAATACATAAAGTAGGAAGAAAAACCCATTTAATCAAATAGTTGTATCATGAAAACACAAGCAGCTTTCCATCCGTCATTATAATTTAATAATTTTTAAATAAATTGCCACTTCTCGAAACAAATTAAAAAAAAACCTCCTTGCTGTAATTTCAATAACATACAAATGATCGATAATGAAACGTTTAGTTAACAATTTAATAATCCAGTTCCGAGATAATAAAAACTGATAAGCAAACTCAACCATAATTAACTCAATCGTATTTTCTCTAACCCATTTTTATTCAAACTAGTTTTAAAACGCGATCACAGTATCAACTCAACCGCGCTGAAAAGAGACCCCACAAAAACAAAAAAGAGAAAAAGCTCTCGGCGCATGCCTCGTGCACACGTTTCCAAAAAAACAACATCCGCTCGAAAAAAATTGCATTTATTCCCATGAAAAAACCCGCCCGACAAAATTCCAAGCAGCGTCGAATTTTTCGTGGACGTTTGCGCTGGTTTCGCGCGCAAATTCAAACCGTTTACTGTGTAATTACTGCGTTGGGCGTGTTTTAGTGCGAGCAATCTCAGACGTACGTCCGCCGTCAGAGGTGTGTGGGTTCTGCGCGCCGACGAGGACGCACGCACGCCCGCTCGTCGTAACTCGGAAATTAAAGGCGTAGCCATTTTGATTTTGACGAATATTGACATACGTCTTGCGAGTCTAGACAGAAAGTCATTTGTTACGGGCAAAGTGACATGTAAACAGTTGATTTTCGCGTAAAAATCGCGTGTGATAGCGTCGCGACGGTGTCGAGCGCCTTTTCCGCCGTCCCCACGGCCTACTGTGATCCCACGGCGAAAAATCGTATGTGTGCGTTTTTTTTTGGTGCGCGATCGAGTTAACCTTGCTTCGGGACCGGGTGTCTTGATGTGATGATGGTGTTTTTGTGCACGCGAGCCACGGCCTCTTGATGGGGAGCGACTTCGAGGAATTCGAGGTTTTTTGAGGGAATTATGTAAGTTCTTCGGGTGTCACGCGGTTACGAGCCTGTTAGCACCGTGGCTGTAATCAGTGTAAATTGATATGCCCTTCCATGTTTTCTCTGCCACTTAGCGCGGAAAGTGAGGTTAGGTGCAGTGTAAACAAGCCATTGTCCGATTCGGGCCCGCATTTCGCCTAATTGAAGCTAAAACGCTCGTATTTGCAGAAGGTGTCATCCGTGCACCGTAAACAAGTACTTACCGGGCGCGCGCCCCTCCGCCAATTGCGGCCCGCCGATGCGTCACGTGCCGCTCATCTCGCCAATTAGGCGGGTTCGATAAGTCACGTGTGGTTTCTCTTGCGGCTTCCGGGAACGGCAACTCGGCCTGGCTTGTGTTTCCGTTTTTAAACGAATGCGGGAGATGTAGCGGGCATATTTCACGGTGTGTATTCAAATAACACATAAGCAGCCATAAACATTTTAAGCATGCACCAACTTAAAAATATAAAGAAAACAGACGGGGTTGGGGCGGGAAGAGCGTGGGGGAGAGAGATGGAGGATTGGCGACGGGATGTCTTCTTGGCGCGGTTCTTTTTTCTTTTGGTTTGTGTGCTGTTTGTTTTCGGAATATAATGGGGCGGTTTGAATGTGAGGAGGGAAAAGGATTTATCGGGGGTTGGGGGAGATGTGGTGTGAGGGGCAGGTGTTCGCTGGTATGTACATACTACAATGGTAATTGTGACGATAACAGCCGCCGTCTACTATACTTTCAGTTAACTTGCTTATATACATAATATTTAAAAGTATGTGGTAGAAAAAATTACATTGCGTCACTCATACGAACAACTTTTTTACGACAATCACCCTTTCAACATTAATGTGAATTTAAGTGTATTAATTGACAGCGGCAAGGGTGGCGTGTCTTACACCCATTTTCTTATAGCAATTCTTCTACTACATATTTTTTCGTGTTACGCTTTTATACCAAGTAGAGTCATTCATTTTTCATACACGTGAGAATTGTAGGTTATACTAATTTTTATTGACCCACTCGTTTTCTTCGCGGAACTTTCTCATTTTTTTAAATTAAATTTTTACGCTAATAGAGAATATTTTTCTGCGCTTCTTTCTATTCAGAATCATTCATTTTTATTATAAATAGCTTTGTAGAAAAAGGTCATAGCAGATTTTCTCATTTTTGTACGACTGTTAATCGAACAATTATAATTAATAAATAATAATTAGTTCAAAGAATTAAACAAAAGAAGGAACTTATCTAATTCCATTTCCTTGTGATTTACCACCAACTTCCAAGGATCACTAATTCAGGCCTTGTCTAATTATTTTACTCGATTTTTACTTCCCGAAGGTAAGCGAAGTATTGTAAGCGAGTCCAAAAAATAGTTCTCCCGTTTCCGTCTGTCTGTCTGTCGTCTGTTAGGCAGATAATCTTAGAAAACTACCGCTAACCAAAATTTGCCATAATCATCCCCACATTTATAAAAGTAAATTTTATTTAAATTTTATAAATAAGACACCCCTGCACTTGTGGTTTATGAATCTATGTTAATTCTATCTCCAATTCATTCATAAATTCACCAACACTTTCAAGATACATGTTTTTTACATACTAAACAATCTCTCATCAATAACAATATTTAGCTTCCCAGAGATACCGACGAATCATTTTGAATAACACCTAAATGTGCTCGCTGCACTCGCATTCTGAATGTTCTTTTTTTCAATTAATTTTGGGGCCAGTTATAGAATATTTTAATTTCGATTAATTTAATCACGCATTTAATGAGGGGTTTAGCGTTGTCTGATTGGCGTAGAAAAGTAGAAAAGTCACGTGGTCCGTAAATTCCGCATTAAAAATGTTATCGCAATCAAATATTTAATTAAACTTCTGTAAACCGGCTCTTGAGTGTCAGGATGTTTCAGTCCCAGAGATATTATTGATAACAAAAAAATTTTAAATAACAACAAAATTGTTCCTAACAATTTAGGTTCTCCGGGCCACCAATAAATATTTTTTTAAATTACACATACACATGCTCGCTACGCTCGCATTTCAAGTTTTATGTCGATGAATTGAAAAGTCGAAAACTGAACAAGTGGAAACTAGAAATGTTGATAAATCGAGAAAGCGAAAAATTGATAATCCGAAAAGCTGAAAAATGGAAAACACAAATTTTAAAAATCCAAAAAATCGAAAAATTGAAAAATTGAGAAATCTAAACATCAAAAAAATCAAGAAATCGAAAAGTCGAAATATGGAACGCAAAAAAATGCACCGTTAAAGTGCTAGCGCAGCGAGCACAAATTTTTAAACGCACATTTTTAAATAACAACAAAATTGTTATTAACAATTTTCTCCGGGCGACCAATAAATATTTTTAAATTAAACCTGCACGTGCTCGCTGCGCTCGCATTTTAAATTTTATGTGGACGAATTGAAAAATCCAGAAACTGAACAAGTGAAAACTTGAAATATCGATAAATTGAGAAACCGAAAAGCTGAAAACTGGAAAACACAAATTTTAAAAGTCGAGAAATCAAGAAATTGAAAAATCGACAAATCGAAATATCAAAAAATTTAAATATTAAAATAACTGAAAAATAGAAATATCGAAGAAGTGAAAAGTCGACAAATCGAAAAATTTAAAAATCGATAAGTCGGAACATCGAAAAATCGAAAAAAATGAAAGATTGAAACATTGAAAAAAAAATCACAAAACTGAAATATCGAAAAATGAAAAATCGAAGAAAAATTGAAAAATCAGAAAACTGAAACATCGGTAAATTGAGAAATTGAAAAATCTGTCAATCGAAAAGTCGAAAAATAGAAGTTCAAAAATCTAAAAATTGATAAACTGAAAAATCGAAAACCCAAAAATTCGATTAGTCGAGAAATTGAAAAATCGAAAAATTTAAAAACAAAAAAATCTAAAATTTAAAAATTTTAGAGATGGAAAATTGAAAACTCGACAAATTGAAAGATTAAGAATCTGAAAAATCTAAAATTTAAATAAAAAATAGAAATATCGAAGAAGTGAAAAATCAAAAAATTGAAAAATCGAAGAATCCAAAAATTGAAAAATCCCAAAACTAAATTTCGGTAAATTGAGAAATCGAAAAATTAAAATATGGTACTCATGAAATTAAGAAACCATAAACCTGAAAAATCTAAAATTCGAAAATTGTAATATACCTACAATAATCTTTTTCGGTCCAAAAACCTGAATTCCCACCGTAAACACTTAACACGGATTCATAAACCACAAATGGAGGAATACGTTATTTTAGAACATTTAAATAACATTTACTTCGGTTTGTTTTATCTTAATGATCGTTCCTGTGAATTAATTTATTCTGAAAAAATCAAAAATCAGTGAGCACATGTATGTTGGTGGAGTCTTATCTTTTTTATTTATTTTAAACGTAGAATTTTTTTATATAAATTGTAAAAAATGAACCAGTTTTAATAAATTTTTTGATATAAATTATCAAGTCACCGCTCTGAGTGTAGAAATTCTTTAAGAAAATAGGAATGAAATAAATTATAACTACATTGTACTGAAATGGGGATTAGTAGACTTTTGCTTAAATTATCTAGAATGCAGTATTATTTTTTTTCCATTTAATATAAATCTTCATTGAATGAAAAAGGCTTTCTTTTTTAGTTGGACGTTATAGGAGTCGACATAGTTTTGTTTGTGAAAAAAAATCAAAATGAAAAGATAAAATTCGAGAACACTATCAACTTATGTACACTATGATAACTAACAAAATTTTTAACTCCATTTGAAACGAACCATTGGGGCTCGAACTATTTATAATCTAAGGCGATAGTATTTGAGGGGGAATAATCTTATCTTTGACAATTAAAGATAAACTCTGAGGGCGAACTAAAATCGCCCAAATTATTTTTCGGGTCCATACTTATTTTGGAAGAGTTGAACTAGGAAATATCACAAATATTATTAAAATGGATAGTTGAAAAAATCTCGAGGTGCTAATAGCAACTAATTTCGAAGTATTTGTCATAAACGTGACTCTTAACAGCTTGTCCGTATTTAGAATGCACTGGTTAGCATTATACCTGTTTTCGTCACTTAACATCATCCCGCTTTTTCGCAGTCGACGTACTCAGAATGGCCAATCGATACTTTTCTTTATCTATTATAAAAATAAATTGATTTTAGAATTCTTCACTTGACAACAATTCTTATTATCTTGTTTCTGTGTAGACCTGTTTATTGCAATTTGCATAAATAAAAAATCCTGTATTAAATTTATGTTCGTGTTGCGAAAATTTGGGAAATATCGACATGCGGTTCTGCTTATTTAAATAATTCATAAATGTAGTTAAAAAAATAAACATCTAAATTCGTACCAATACACTTGGCAAATTTTCTCACTATTTTTATTTTATTATCCACATGTAAGAGTTCTATTTCAATAAATTATATAAATACGAGCACTGACTCACTGAAGAGATTGCTAAATTTTGTGGGCCTCATTTAAGAGAACGATGGGTGTGGGAGCAAGTGGTGTAGATTTCTAGTGTTTGTTAAATTCGTCTACTAAGACATTGAGGGCGCTGTGAGACATCATTTTTTCCTTCTAGCGTCACTGGAAATACTGATGATTGTAGCTGAAATTCAGAGTCCGTCATCGTCAATCATAAAATTGACTTATGGAATTAAATAATTACGTGTAAACAATTTTTTGCTTCATAAATTTTTAGTTTCCACCTCTTGCTGTTAGAAGTATTACATCAAACAACAAATTGCAACTTCGTTTTTAAGAGTTCGAAGGCTTTAATTGCTGTTCTACAGTTCTACCGATAACATCTACCACATGTTGTAAAGCAGAAACAAAGCTTCGGAACTGTGAGGTATCTTGATACGAAAGTTAGATCAGGAGATTGCATGTTTGGTTGAGAGCGTAGTTGCGAGGGGTAATTATGAGAAAATTTTTCTTCGTAGTGCGATATTGTGAGTCAAAAGTGACGAAGTAAACATTTC